AGAACTGTGATGTTTAGTCCTAGAAGTGTGGCTAAATTTTCCAGAGATACAGTTATATAGTGGAGAGCATTATTCTGGGGCTATCTTATTTCCTTACAATGTTGAATTTTCTTCATAGACTGCCGTAATTTTTTGTACTTAATTGTGATAGTCAAGAAAAATGTGAGTACATTTTTTTTTCCTCAAGGAACTATTGGTACAGATTTTTATTTTTTATTTTTATTTTATTTTTAACTTTTGAGAGGTTTTTGCTATAGGGCGTGTGTGCTCGCCAGAGAGACAGAGACAGAAGGACAGAAAGTGAGAAATCACCCCCCAGGGGGGATGGCCACGCTGCAATCCCTTCTCCTCCATTCTCCTCTCGGGATCTTGGGCACGTACGCACATGCGCCCGGCGTGAGTTTTAAGCCACCAGGTCTGGGACGCAAACCGCTGTCGACTACATGGGAGTCCAGCGACATAGCCATTACACTAACTGCTGGTCCCGGTACAGATTTTTAAATAACAATCAATATGCTCAATGAAATCACTCATGATCTTATTAGTCATGCAACACTTGTGGACTGACCCGGAAAACTGAACTTCAAGGGTATGAGCATATGTGTATGTGCATGCTTCTATATGTGCATATGTGTGTGCAGATGTACAAATATGTGCACATTATTGCAAGCCTGGTGTATATGTGTATGTGAGCCTGTATATGCACATGTGGTACATGCATGTGTGTATGCATATTTGTGCATATATATACATTCATACATGGTCCTGAGTATGTGTTCCTTATGTCTACCTATGTATGCTCATCACATGTATGTGTATCGTGTGCATTACTTGGCTGGGTGCTGCATGTTTATGAGCATGTGCAGTATGCATGAATATGTGTTTCATGCAAAACTAAGAAGTTTGTTATACTCTCTGTTCTTGATGCATTTGCAATCAAGGGGAGATTCAGTAGAGACGCATCTATGAGCTAGCATGAAAATAAATAGGTCACCTTTCATTGGAAATTCTCTACAAAGTACATCATTATTAATGAGCATTCATATTTATGAAGTCCTCAGATACTTTAAGCATTATTCTGAGTATGCCACAATAAAATATGGTCCTTGGCTCAGCCCAAGGGCATGGTCAGTAGCAAACTGAACTGTGGCACTGGAAGCCACATGGCCTACTTGAGTTAAGCTGGTGTGAAGACATGCCAGGTGCTTACGTGCATGCCCAGGATCCAACAAGCTGGAAGACTGGCATATGGGGATTGTAGTGTGATGAGTCTCTGCAGAACATGCTTCTCTCTCTTTTTCCCTTGTGTGTGCATATGTATGCCATCATGGATAAAATAAATAAATTAAGAAAAGAGAACTTATTTAAAAAAGAAAAATAATGGCCCTTGTTTTCTTTATCCATGAAGTGTGGAATTGAATAAGTTTTAGGATACCTTTCTGTCAAAATGCTGTAATTCAA